ACGAGACAGGCCACGGTCAAGTTTCAGGGACACGACCTTCAGCAATGAAGAAAGCGACGAAGAAGAAGAGACAAGATGAATGAAATGATTCACATGCTTTAAAAAACAATAAACTCCTGCCAAAGATGTCAAAAGAGGCGTAACCTAAAAAAAACACTCTTTTTGCACAAAATGTAAATATTCTAGTAAATTGTAATGCAGTGGTTAGAGCTGAAACCGCTTAGAAGCAGCCATGGGTCCGGCAAACCTTAATATTGGATAAACAGAATCACCATACACGAAAAAGAACTTCAAATTATACAAAACCGTTCGCGATCGTTAAGATTCATTACGTTTTATTGTGTTCGGTTGGGCTCGACGAAACATCCAAAAAGAGCAAATCGTTCAACGCTGCGACGTTCTTCTCTCGAATTAAGTCGTGGAGCCCTTCATATAGTGCACCCAAATATAAGCTACATATAATCCAAATTAATTTACCACATTACAATTGACTCGCTGGTGCGGTATTTAATGCCCCAGACTGTTGCACCAAGGGTTGTGAGTTCGATTCCCACGTCGGGCAAACATTCGTTTGATGAACAGGTTTGTTTGCTCTTTGTCTTGTTGCTTATTGTCTATATGTCTATATATGTTAACATACATAAGTATGTACGTTAGACTCTGGTACTTATAACACAGGGAATCCTAATTTGGGGTTGGATGACTGTGCGTGATCTCTTCCCAGTTATTATTATTATTAATTACAATTCAATGTATTCACGTGTTGCCTCTTTTTCCTTTATTTATTTATAATTAAAACAACCTTCACGGTTAGGAATAGGCTATCGAAATTGGTAAATTGTACAATTTAACAGAAAGAAACAATCAAAATATATAGCCGCAACCAGTCTAATTCGTTCCAGAATTTAGGCACATGACTTTATTGTCAGAGTCCAGATATGAAGCGGATGCATGGAGTCTGGAAACAGTTAAGTTCATCTAAGAGAAGATTGAATGTGCCAGGCTCGCTGCAAACCAGAAAAGTGACTATTGCTCGTCAGGGGCATTACATGTACCCACAGTAATGATACCAATGACGACCACGACCGCTCTGACAACAGTAATATGACAAAGAAACATTAGCATAGTCTGGGCGAGGGAATAGATAACGTTTTCCGCAAAGATAACAACAATAAATATAAACTATCGGCGAAAACAAAATTAAAATCTTTTCAGAGATAAGAATTTAAAAAGGCCTGTGTGTATCTTTAAAATGTCCTAAAAACTCGGTTTGACCTCCTTCCTTTTTATTTAAAGTCGGCTAATAATAAATAAATAGTATCAGATGATACGTGAAACTTTCTACTTAGTACTATTATGTCAAAGCTATAGCGATTAGAAAAGTGATAAGGTAACAATTATCAAGTATGTATAAGTCTAAACAACAGAACTTCATCATTATGTACAAGAAAAATAGATCGGAATTGAATTCTTTTGTTCTTCGAATACTTTGTGCGAGTCAGAAAAGTTCCTTGTTTTTTTATCTTTGACTTTAAAATGCACGAAAGAAAACACGCGACACATTACCCTACAGAACCCATAAAATTCAAAACCCAATAAAACTCCTTTTGTTTTCTATTTCCCGGAACGCGGCGACATGAGACCTCGAATTTCTTTAAAACGTCGTCGCCATCTTTTTGTTAGTCTCGGCCACGAAATGGCGACCGTAAAAAGTTTTGGCGCGAACCGAGCGGCGGCCCTTTGTACGCCAATTAAATTTCAATTCGACTTTTAAATCGATACATCGTCTAAATTATCTTAATGATTAAGTTTACTGAGAATCAAATTAATCGATTCTACAAATTGATAAAAGTAATTAACAAAGTTTGGAAAAGTTTTGATGCTTTAAACGAAACAATTCGAAATCGAATCGATTAAAACGAACCATCGTTCCGTGTAAACATTATCGTAGAGTCTCTTTAATTTGTCGGAATGTTTTTGTAACGATTACTCGAATTACGTTTTCCGATCTTACAATATCGATATCCTACCTGTTGTTGGTATTCAATTAATTTGTCTCCTCACAATTAGTCCGGTTCTCGGTGTCATGTACCTTTTTTTCATATAATCACTGCGGCATCTTTAAACTTTGTTATTCGATTAAATACGCTGTTTTAATAGCTCCGTGACATTTTTTTTATCATTTCATAAGTACTAACAGGAATGATATTTTCGTTCAAGTTTATTTATTTATTTATTTATTTATTTATTTATTTGGGAAACAAACAGTACAATACAAAACATAAATATTTAAAAAAATATAGCTAAAACAATAACCAAATATGTTTCCACAATCAAAATCACATATAAGTAGACAGTGAACAAGAAGAGAAATTTAGAAATTTAAATTACAAAAAAACAAAAGCAACACAATACGCACATATCATTTTATACATTAACTCACACTATAAAACTACAACACTTATCGGGCCAAATCACCCTATAAACACTCCAAAACAGCTTTTCTATATGCTACAAGTGACAAGCAAAAGATATCAGCATTAGAGAACTTAGCATCATACAACCTACAAGATCTACGGACAAAAGAGTTAGAAGCATATTTCGTTCGAGCCGTGGACATGTGGAAGGTCTGTTTAGAACGCGCGGAAATACGACTACATTTAAATGAAATTTTGGAAAGAAGATAGCTAGAATCAATCTCGTTATTTATTATTTTATATAAAAACATTTGATCCCTCAGTAGCCTGCGATCGACTAGAGAGACAAATTCTGTCGGTTCTGGAGAGTTAAAGCGACGACAATGGTATAAAAGATGCCTAAAAAACCTTTTTTGGACTCTTTCTAGTCGCTGAATATAAATATTATATTGGGGGTTCCATGTGACGGAGCCATATTCCAATATAGACCGTACAAAACTGTTGTACAACAGAATCAAAGTAGATGGTCTTTTAAAGTCTTTACCAACTCTAAGTATGAAGCCTAACATTCGAAAAGCCTTATTTACTATTTCATTAACATGAAAATCAAAGTTGCGCTATCAAAGTTGCGCTATCAAATTTAAAAAAAGCAATGAATCTACAAAAACCTTTTTTTCCAATACTGTTAATAGATCAATAACTGCTATGTTATTTCAAAACGTAAGCTATACTACTACTTTCTTGACACTTAATGTAGTAAATTTTTAATTAATGAAGTCTTACTATTTTTCTTATAAAGCTTATTGTGGGACTAACTATATGTTAGTAGTAAAGGTAATATTTAAAGGCGTTTATATTATAACATAGTAATTAGTAAAATATGTTCCATATCTATTAATTCGTTTATATAAATCGTCAGCAATTCATTGCCATTTCACCAAAAAATTTACATGGAAGAAGCGTGTGAACAAGTTTTTGATATCTTTAGAATTGGTAATATTACGCCGCTCAATTAGTCTAGGAAAACACAAACCTTATTCCGTTGACATTAGGTTCGAAAATATATCGAATTGGCGCAAAGTCTCTTTTGCATTTGTAACCCATGAATCTTAATTCAGAGCTGGCTTGACATTGTTTACGAAGTGCGGTCGCATTGTCGTCAAGAAGGATGACTTCGTAAATCGGCTCCTTTCAACTAAATTCCCATTTACGCGATGGGCTAGCCAAATATCGCCAACGATTTCGCTTTGACCACAACCCATCATTACGGAGCGAAGAGATGCCTGTATACATTAGGTTCGCTTGTAAAACTAATACGAAATTTTATCAAGATTCCAGGTAATAATTGTATAGTTAATACCCAAGCATTTGTTATTGTTATAGACGTGTTTGGAGCATATTGATACTGCTCATTAAACCTGCAAACACCATCGTCAGCAGTGTCACTTCACTGCTAGGAAGACCTTTCCCATGGTTCGCCACATGGATCTGTCTTCCGCCTTTTGCATCCAATTCCTTACTGGTAGTTATATATATAGTTGGCTAAAAAAATGGTATGCGTGCACCTTGGTGAAAGAAGTGAAACTTCTTTTGCGGTATTTAGTATATTAGTTTTCTTAATTTTTCATCCTTAAATCAAATTTCCCTTGTAACAGAAAATGCTGTGTATAAGACAAATGAGTTAGCACGCCTTGTCCTTACCCTCTCTTCACGGTCGAGTGGTTCACGAGATACTCTGTCTATTTTGTCACTTTCAATCTTCCTAAATTGTATCTTTTCTTTCTAGCCGTAACAAATCTGTCACGAGTTAAATTTTAATCTCAACGCGTTCTAAAGATGTTTCACTTCAAAAACCAAACAAACTCCGTTCATTAATATTGAAATTGATTCTCTCGAGGCGCCACATCGAGCACCTGCGCCGCTATCATCCGGTGTCATTTGTCACTGACCCAACGTACATATATGTAAAGACTTTACCTCAGACAGACGTGGGATCCTTTAGCTTGTCCACCTGCTAGGTAGCTGACCTTTAAAGACTTTAACCGCTAACATACCTAACCTAATGATTACTTTATATAACTAAACACTTTTTTGTTTTGTTTTCGCGGTTTATATGTAACCATCGCTCTCGGTATTAACAACTAGCTTATTAATTATCTTTACGTTATGTACATATTGTAGCGATGACTTTTGGAAAAATTGATAAGGTGACAGGTTGTTAAGGATTCAAATCTTCGCGCCACCGCTCCATATCGTTATGGCGTCTCATCGGCGTCTACACTCTGTAATCTATGCCACTATTGCGCACACGCCATTTTTTTATTGCAATTTTTGTGAAAGTGTTTTTTGAATGCATTTTTTACTATTTAAAATAAAGTACACGTTATAAGTCGAATTATCGTCATTTAATTTAAAATCCATACCTGGCCCCTACATGGTCCTGGATCGAGCCGGATGGATATACTTACCAGCTCATACTTTGTTGAAAAAGAAGATTACATACAATACTGAAGCCGTGGAGTGCAAATTTAATGGAACGGGATTGCACGCCATCGAAGAGTGGTCGAGAGTTCAAAGTTCAAGTGTGGAAATCCTTTGTTAAATGCTTATTTTGTATAATTTGAACCCAACACTCAATTAATCAGGTATTTTAGGCTTATTTCGACGTAATTGTAAGGTTAGTAAACCAATTCTTTGTTCAGTGAAACAGATAAGTACCAATGTCATCGATTGCTTTAATGTTAGATAAACCCAGGTTAGTTAGTTAAATATTTTATGCGTATTTGTTTGTTCTATTCTCTAAATAAGAAACGAACTTGTTTAACTAACATCAATTTTGACCGATTTATCATTAGTTTTGTAACATTTTGCATCGACTTAAATTTATTGATAAAATATAATGTACCCACATTGTTCTGTCTCAAAATGGTAATTTACTCCTTTATTGTTAATAACGTGTACAATTTATAATTTAATCACAAAATTCATTATTATTTACATGTTAATTTGTCATTATTTTACTGAGCTTCTCGTTTAAAAGCTGTTTAACATTGTGTGATTATTATCAGGTATTTGATGTTAAGTAATTTCATCATTAGTTGTTTCTATGTATTTTATGTAATTGATAAAAGTACTTAAGTAAACATATACTACCTGTATTGATTCTAGACCGATCATACCTGTCTCCCAAAAATGACTGAGCAAAAGGAACTAATAAAGAAACGTAGCAGCATCAAAGGTCGATTAACAGTGTTCGCGAGTCATCTGAAAACAATAGATGAATCAACGATCACTGCCACAGAGGTCAGGGAGTTACAATTGCGCGTTGGTAAGATCGAAGCTTTATATCACTTATACGATGAGGTACAGTTGAAAATAGAGTGCAGCTCTGATAACATGGATATACAAATGGCTGAAAGAACAGAGTTTGAAACTCAGTATTATAAAACATGCGCTCATGCACATGAAATTTTAAATACCTACCAAAGGCTACATGAGAAGATTGAAAATGCATCGAATGCTTCACATTCACGCGCTAATCATAGACTTGTTAAGTTACCTACCATCCAGCTGCCCAAATTTGGAGGCTCATATGATCGATGGTTGGAGTTTCACGACACATTCTCAAGTTTAATTCACAACAATGATGATATCGATGAAGTAAATAAATTTCATTACTTGAGGGCGTCGTTAGAGGGTTCGGCTGCTGTAGTAATTCAATCTGTTGATTTTTCCGCAACCAATTATTTAGTGGCATGGAAGCTCTTATGTGAACGGTTTGACAACAAACGTTTATTAATACAAAATCATGTCGCTGCTTTATTTAACATCGACCCGATCACAAAGGAGTCATCTGTCAATTTGAAACGTTTGATAGATCAAATCAATAAGAACTTGCGCGCACTTGAGTCGTTAGGAGAACCAGTAACGCATTGGGACACACTTTTAATTCACATCGTCACACAAAAATTAGATGCAAAAACTTACCGTGAGTGGGAAGAGTACAAGGGTAATTTAGGAAAAGGTAAAGATAAAACTATTAAATTTGATTCCTTTTTAGAATTTTTGCATAATCGAGCTGATTTAATTGAGGGACCATTGAAATGTCACAAAATGCTCAAAAAACTGGTAGTAGTAAATGTGCAACAAAAATTAAGACTATGGTTTCTGTTCAAGGTGGTTCTTATAATAACAATAATCCTTCGACCACTACTAACAACTATAAAAATCATTCGCCAATGAAACCATGCCCTAACTGTAATGGTGAACATTATTTAAATAATTGTCTGAACTTTCTCGCATTGAGTAGTGAAGCACGGTACAAGTTGTTACCAAATTATAAGATATGTTTTAATTGTTTTCGTAGTGGACACTATGCGAACTCGTGTAAGAAGTCAGGGTGTAAGGTTTGCAAACGTAAACACCACACACTCATACACGTAAACGAGTTTGGCGTGAAACAGTCGACAGCCTCGGTGTCAGCTGATTGTGATAACGGCAACAATGCTAGTGAGTCGAGTCAATCAATCAAGTCTGAGCCTTCTGTGGTTCCGAGCAGTTCTCACAATCCGAGCGTCGTACTTTCGGGAACCGTAATGACCACTAATGAGAATTCAGGTCAAGGTCAGTGTGATGTTCTATTATCTACTGCGTTAGTGAAATTATATGACAGCAATAACTGTGAGGTCATCGCCCGTGCGATACTCGACAGTGGTAGCACTTCGTGTCTCATGACTGAGGATTTGTATAAACAATTAAATTTACCAGTTAATTGCATAAATAAGTCTGTCATAGGCATAAATAATATAACATCACATATTAGTCAGATGTGTCGCGTACAAGTCAAATCTTTAAATGAGAACTTTTCAACTTGTCTAAGTTGTTTCATCCTGCCGTCCATCACTGATAAAGTTCCTGGATGTCGGATAGATGTTAGAAATTTAAGGGTTCCTTCAGATATTTGCCTAGCGGATCCCAAGTACTACTTACCTTCTGCCATCAATCTTATTATTGGTGCTGATGTTTTCTGGGACATTTTGGGTTCTCAAAGAATTAAATTAGGGAATGGCAAGCCGATTCTTTATGAGACTAGACTTGGTTGGATAGTCTCTGGTCCAGTAACCAGCGGCCATACATCGACTTGGCCATGTAAAATTAAATGTAATTTCACTCAAGCTGATTCCATGACTTCTTATAATTTTAATGATGACATCCAAAACCAACTCATGCGTTTTTGGCAGCTTGAAGAAGTCTGTCCTCAGTCAAATCATTATTTCCCTGAAGAGAAGTTATGCGAAGAACATTTTGTTAAAAATACAACTCGCCTCGCAGACGGACGGTTTTGCGTAAGAATCCCATTGAAACAAGCGCCGGGAAGTTCTTATCAGCGAGGCTAAATTGGCTTTTATCTTTTGGAGCGTTCGCTCAAAAGGTGATGATTCATTTAGTAAAATGTACAAGGAATTTATGCGCGAGTATAAAAATCTTGGTCACATGTCAGAGTGCAAACCGAATATTGAGTTGCCTCATTACTTCATCCCACATCATGGTGTCCTTCGTGAATGTAGTACGACCACTAAGTTGCGCGTCGTATTTAATGCGAGCAGCCCTACTTCCTCAAGGGTTTCATTTAATGACATTCAAATGATAGGACCCACGGTGCAAGACGATCTTCTGTCAATTCTTTTACGTTTTCGGCAGCACAAGTATGTTCTTGTAGCTGACGTGGAGAAAATGTATAGGCAGATCGTCGTGCATGAAGCGGACAGACCGTTACAACAGATTATTTGGCGCGAAAACGAGTCAGATTCACTCAAATCATATGCTTTAAACAGAGTCAGTTATGGGACTGCTAGCGCACCCTATCTCGCTAGTAGATGTTTGAAACAAATAGGTATAGAATGTAAGGACCCCACGATAGCGGACATCATTATCCATGATTTTTATGTCGACGATTTGTTGACTGGAAGTGACTTCATCAGCGAAGCATTGCGCATCCGTGAGCAAGTTTCTGCTGA